TCTGAAGAAGTCTGATGAGAAATCCCATATTCTACGACTATGTCCTTCTACACCATGATATCCTACTGCAGTAATAAATCCACTGAACAACAGAGTTCCTTGTAATGGCAGAAACTGGGACACTGGACAGAATCCTGTCCCAGAACACAAATCTCACTGCCAGATGAAGTAAAAATGTCCCTTATCATTTTCACACTTAAAACTTCCCCACCTCTGTTTGTATACTATCCCTCCCCCATTTCCCCCTTCAAAACAAAGTCCAAAAAATCCCACAAGATGACAGAAAAGGTATTAGTGTTTTAAATTTGGGAATCAATCAGTAACAGTGAAAGTGACCACTAAGCACATTCTTTAAAAAAAACAAACCAAACCAAACCAAACCCCCCAAATCTTATAAACCCATTTGTTTGGCTTGCCAGCAGCTGAAAGACTGTCCCACTTGACAGCTAAATCCAGCATGGTTTGCTTTGTTTGGTCATTCCACTGAGAAGAGACAGCAGTCAGCTAGTCACTGGCAAGCTGTTCCCCCAATCCTTTCCCCTACCAACACACAAAGCAACTTTGCCACTGCAGGAGCCATCTTTTATCCACCCAGAAGGTTATATAAGCAAAGATATAAGAGGAAGATAAATGTGCTGCAACATGGCAAAAGCAGAGGATGGCCCACAGCTGAAAAACTGATGAACTTCAATAGTCCATTCACCTCTATCAGTTATGTCTAGTCTTGTGGATACTATCTCTAAGTGTTTGCTTTACTTTTATTAAATTGGTTTTTACTAGGGAAGAACAAAAGGAAGATACACATATTTAATACAAAACGCAACAAGTCTGATGAACGGACAGCACAAGTAATAATGTTTTAATGCCCTACAAAATTGGATTTTCCATTAAAATGCAACATAGCACATAACAGCCATGAACACCTAGAATTCACAGCACCAACCCAATAAATGGCAAGCAAACAGCTACTCAGGGAAGTAGTAGAAGTCTCCTGGTCCTAAACTTTCCTGAAAGCCTGATGTGACAACAGCAACCTGTCATCTTTATTGAGGAAATATAAAATCATTTGCCCTGTTGAAAATCAGAATTTTTCTTAGGAAGGAAATACATCATGGAAATGCAGCTGAGGCTATTTGTTTTACAGTTACTGAGGAAAGATGTGAAATATTTAAGATAAGTTTCTATAATCTCATAAATTAGTTTAAAAATCTCAAGTCTGTCTCTAAAACATTGTCTCCCGACCTTGATATCAATATGAGCTCCAAACTGTAATACTTGCAGAGACGACATCCAAATAAGCTTTTGACTACACAGAACAAAGACATTTTCTATTTTTCAACTCTTGCAACAAAATATGTATCTGTAGAGCTGAAGCTATTGGAAATGGGTACGTTAGCAAAAAGCTCCTCAAAAAGCACATTTTTAATACCTACATAGTAATTACTTAATTTTAGCCCTCATGTCACATTTTTCTGCTAGACTTTCTTAATTTGGAAAGCCAAAGCTAACTGTCACTAGTGCAGGCTGAGACGTACTTTTAGTTCTCTTAAAAAAATAAATTCTATTCTACTTAACACCTCATTGTGAATGTATAACTTAATTTCCCAAAAGACCAGCTAAGGAATAAACTGTGATTATTTTAAATTCAGTGTGCAGAAGGGAAAATAACCCCACAACACCAAAACCCAAAAACAATCAGACAAACATTCTTATATTTGCTCTTTGTTCCACCTTTTATTTTTACTAAAATCACCTATTTTTAAATTTTTTTCTTTCTTTCTTGCTAATTTATTCTTTATTTTAAACATATATACTCTACAAAGGTTAATTTTTACTGTTCCACATTTTGCTATCTGTTTATATTTTAATCCAAATGGTTTTATGTTTTGTTATTAAAGAAAGACTCACAAAGGATTAAGATGGTTTCTTCAGAAAAAAAAAGATTATTTTTCCTTAAAGAGGAGATTTAATCAGAATAACAAATTTTTCTTTCACAGTTTATCAAGCATTGGTGCCTCATTAATTACAGAATGACGCAATTTCAGGTTAAAACAGCGTTAGAAATGTGACTAAATAAAGGACAATAATGAAACTGCTATAATATAATAGGTATTCTTTAAGAGTATGCTTAAGATGGCTGTTTCTTCCCAGTTTCAAACAGAACAAGAACAAAGAAATGCCTCCCTGTTTACTCAGTGTAAGTGCATATGACCACTATGATTCTTTTAGCTCCACAACAATATCAGCTGTTTTAACACTCCTTCACATCGAAAAATTATGCGCTTATATATTTAGAAATTCTGACTTCTTTGAACAATTAGAATTAACATTTAAACTGAATCCTTTGTTAATTTCTTCATCCCAAACAGTGCATCTAGATATCTAAAGCTGTAGCATTCACTAAGAATTTGGTGATTATGTCTTGCAGCAAAATATTAGATGCTGATTGCCACTATGAGATTTACTGAAATACAACAATAAAAACAAAACCAGATAAAATTTGGTTTAAGGTAAAGTTAAGGCACGGTAAGGGCAAAAGAACTCCAAAGAACAATCTGCTTTGGCACTTCTTCCTAGGTTAGGAAATTCCTATTGAAAAAACTGAAAAGTAGCAATTGAAAAAGCATTGCAAGTTCAAAAAATTGAGCATGGCTGCTACCTAAAAGACATGCCAAGTATGTTAACTATGATGTAGGTGTGCCTAACTCTCACTTTAGCTTATGGCTACCAAAATAAACAGCATAAAGCTTTTAACTGTCTGGACAGAGAGAGAGACAGCTTTCCTCCCTTAGCTAGACTGAAGCATGGTATTTAGCTTCTTTGTGTGGTACTTAGATATCCCGATTCATGTGTGACACATCTCTCATTTGAGGACCTCTATCATCTCTTGCATTATCTCACCTCAATGATGAAATAATGAGAATGAAAAGAGAAGAATGAGTCAAGTTCTGTTTATACTCATTTGCCTCAGAGAAAAGTAGTGTCAATCAGGTGTTTGCACATAATAGACTACTTCCTTGAAAGAGCATTTCATGGAGTATTTTTAGATCAAATGAATTTTTCTGTAAAATTCACATATAGAAAATTTACTGTTTTGTGTCTTTTAATATGAAAGCCTAACATAAAACCAAAATATTAATGAGAAAAGTTGATTTTTATCGCCATAAAATACTTAATTCTGGAAGAACATTGAGATTAGACATGTCCAGATCAAAGTAACTATAATGTGATAGGTAAGAAAAATTGCAGGCTGAATATGAAAGATAGAGAACGAATTGTTCGTTTATTTACCTTTGCAATCCATCTAAGCTAAAAAAATTGCATTACTGAAGAGAAATTCACTTGCACAGCAAGAAAGCTCTTGAACCTAAGAATCCAAACTTTTTTTAAGTGCTCCAGGCAATTTTTATTAAGCTATAATTATTTCCTAAGTCTCTGAAAATGTTCTACTTTGCAAAGTTTAAGTGACTGGTAAATCAACATCCCACTTAAACCATTGTTGACACTTGTTGCAAAATTTCTTTTCCATAAGTTAAAAATCAAACACAAGCTGAGTTTTTCCACAGGAATTAGTAGTACTGTGAGAATCCTTCTCCTTTCCTTTGGTGAAAGGCTTAAAATAATTTCACATGCATTAATTCTCTGGCCAAAAATGTGCACAAATACTTCTACTAATAAACCTACAGTACTACAGTGTGCCTGTTCCCAAATGACTCAAGAGTCCCTCTTCAACTGATCTAAAGAGAAGAAAATAATCACTGTTCTCAGTAATTATTCAAAAACAAGTAAACTGAAAGACTGATTTAAATCTACAACAATAACGTGCCAGATAATGAAAAGGCAAAAGCATACAATACCTAAGGAAGCTAAATACCTAAAGAGGATATTTTCTACCATCACTACAGTATTTAGTTCAGTATCTGAATAAAAGGAAAAAAGTGATAAACTTTTATCACCTTGAAAAAAGGTGAGGAACTTTTGTAGAACTGCCTCTATTTGCAGTGCTAAGAATAGTTTTTCTTATGGCCCACCTTCACCTTTGAAGAAGTCTGCATCTTCTAGTACTTTCATTTTTCAGATTTTAATAATGAAGCAGAAGTGATATGGAAAGAGGAGGCTTCTTATTGTTCACAAGTTAAACAAAAACAGATAGCATGGATTAAGTAGTGACATAAAATATTTACGTGCACCAGGACTCCTTGTTACATACTAGCACACAATTAAATAGCAGAATTCTCAAAATTTTCAGCTGCATGATACTCTCTTGTATATCTGCACTGCAGATTTTGCATCTTCACTGGTGGAGCAATAAAGGAATACAAGAACTAGAATAGTGGAGACCTCAATCAAGATTCTGTTGGATAACATCACAAAATAAAGTACTTTGTATTTAAACAACCTTTTGAAAAATAACCAAACAAACCTACTGTAATGTACTTTGCACACAGGGAAATCTTTGTCCTTGTAGCTGTTCCAGAGAAAGAGATTTATAGTGGATTCACCCTCTGAAATCTAATGTACTCAGCAACTGCAGAACAAGAGCACCACTCAGTGGAACTATCAGAGAAAACAATACTGGTAAAGTCAGTGTTACATATTCATAGCATAGCAATAAAAAAGGAGTTTCAGGTGATTCTACTATGAAAAAAAATTTTCCCACTGTCACTACTTAGAAAGTCATCCCTGCTTCTACCCAAGAGACAGAAAATCCATAATTAACATATCTGCAGATGCTGATCCTGCCAGTATCATAGCACAATTCATGACTTTACTTTTCCAGGGTCCTGCTTTTCTAAATGGGAAATAGATTTATATTTGTCATAACAGAAATAAACAATGAGGAATGCATATAAAAATTAAAAAAAACCAAATACACAATACATGCACACTCTCTTTTCTAATTACACTAAATTTCTAGGACAGATTACTTCTTTGGGAAATGTGAAAATGTTCAGTACTCAAACACTACAGAATCTGTTTTGGTCAGAATAATGCATTACCTGGTAAATTAGTCTTCATTATATCAATGCCCACTTGAAGCTCAGGCTCAGCTGCAAGGACTGCATAATCTCCTTGATGAGAGATATTGAAGTTGTAATTCGAATTGATACTGACTACAGTATTGGCCAGGAAAGGTTTTCCTTTCGATGTCCTTTGCAAGTGTACTTCATTCCAAGGTATGCACATCTTTTCTGCAATTAATTTCCGCATCAGCAGGCGACCAGCCTATGAAATAAAATGGAAGTGATTCATAAAGAATTATTATGCTATCTGCAAAATATCCCTGGTTGCTAGAAAACCACCTGCCTGAAAAACATGGCTTTATTATTGCTGATACAAAGTAAGAGCGTATTTTAGCTGAATAATTTAAATTTCCCCCTTTTATAAAAGCCTGTGTCTGCAAAGCACGAGTTCACCAGACCTGAGTATCAAACACATTTATTATCACTATTAGCACAGAGGCAACATAAGACCCAAAAGCAGTCCCAGCCTAGAAGAATCACAAAACCAGTTGCTTTCCCTACCTTGTTTGCTTGCTTAGGATACTTCATGGCACAAATAAATATTTTTACACCACCCTGAACGGTAACATTGTCTCAAATCTTCCTTGCAGTACAGCCACTCCATTACTTCGGCACTAAATGAAATACTGAGCAGCTGAAAGTGATGGGTAACTTCTTACACACAAATTAGCAGGTCTGTATCACTAACACATCCTGATGCGAGATTTAAAACCTGAACCGTGTAGAATAGCTTTATTCTCTTACACACTACACTGCTGTCTTAGGTACAGTCTCCCAGGGTACGCTGATTTTGTCTCCTAACTTGACACCCCGACACAGAGCTCGTGAAGTCTTTCACAGTAACTACTGAGAGCAGACTGCAAACATCTCTTTTTGCTCCGCGGCGAAGCAGAGCTGCATACTTTACGCATCACGCTTTGTACTTTACGATGCATTACTTCCCCGAAATGCCCTTGTAGAGCACATTTTCCTACGAGAAGTCAGACATCTGGGCAATGCCCAATCTGCAGAGACAGCCGCGTCCCCGTGCCCCCATGTACCAAGGCGGCTTTGGCATCGCGAGCAAAGACAAACTGGCCGATGCGGTCCTTCTCCTCGGGCTGCACCAGCTGCGCGGCCAGCAGCCACTCACGGCGGCGGGGGCGCCAGGCCCCGCACGGGAAAGCCCAGCGCACGCTGCCCATGGCCCTTCACGGCCCCGGCGCACCCGGCCCCGCCACGGCCCACCCCTCGAGCACGGCGGGAGCCTATCGGCGTGCGGGAGGGACGGAAGGCCCCGCCCTCGAGGCACCACGACCAGTCCGATGTCAGAGCACCCCATGAGTGACAGGGGAATGCGCCAGGTACCGGCCTATCAGGGGAAAGGCGGTGCCTGCGGCGGAGCTACACCCGTGGTGCCGTCAGGGAGGAACCAGCTCGCGGAGATGGGCGGACTCTGCCCTGGATTGACGGCCGGCGGAGCCATTCCGAGCGCAAGGAGCGAGAGAATGACACCAGAAGGCTCCAATCTGTTGGTGCGACTGCAGCGGAGGGTGGGCCAGAGCGGTCGGTGAGCTACGGGTGTTGGCTGCAGGTGGGTGCGCGCTGCTCGGAGGGAGCGCTCAGGGGGGACTGGCGCTTGGCCGGCTGCGGAGCGTTGGCAGTGCTGGAGGCCGCCACACCCCGCGGCTGGGCCCCGCGGTCGCGCTCTGAGAGCAAGGAAACCCTCTGCCCCATCTCGCGAGTCCTGCCAGAATTAGTCCTCCCTTAGAATGAACGGAGCCGCCGCGGGGCGCACGCGCGGGCGGCCTGGGCATGCGCAGTGGTGGCGCTGACGGCACCGCCCTCCCCCTGCGGGCGGGGCGGGGGCTATGGCGGCCGGGGCTGAGTTTGGGGGTGAGGAGGTTGGGGATGGCCGGTAACCCCGGCCAGGGCAGAAGGAACGTAGTTGCCCTGTAGCTTCTGACTGCACCCGGCTTTGTGCGAGACAGGGACGCGTTTATGCCGTGGGGGCGGGGGACTTTGGTTCTTGATGGCACCGTGACCGGTCAATGGCAAGTGATGCCCCCGGTGTCCCATCGCTGCCATCGGCGCATCCGGCTGAGATGTTGCCGTCAGCGCATCCATCCTGCTGGAGAGCCGTCCCAGCCCCTGGCAGAGCGGTCGCAGCGAGGTGGCCTCTGCCTGCCCTGGCCTCGCTGCCTTTTCTTGCCCAGAAAAGAGGAGCCGATTGTCCTCACAACAGATGCAACGCGCTGCATCATCCTGGTTGGGTTCTGGCTTCAAAAGATCTGTCTGAACAAAAGCCTCTTCTATCCCGTGCTCGTTGAGAGCACTAAGAGCTCCAATGGTTGTCAGAACAGGGTTCCCTCATGCCCTCAATTACAGGCCATCTGTAAATCCTCAGAAGGTAATAAATTCGTTTGCCCTTTGGTTCTGAAGTTGGACCATGGCTAAAAATTTAGGGCCTGTTTGAAAATTTATAGCCCTTCTTCTTGCTGCTTGCCTTTAGAAATACTTAATGCTTCAACCATTCTATACTGACCATGTACAAATGATGCAAAGGTATTGAAAATTATATTACTGCAGGTATTTCTTAGAATCCTCCTTTTATTGTTGCTGTTGTTTAGAATTCACAGCTCCCTGGTCATGGGGGAAAAGTGCTATTTCTACATGGGCCAGAAAGTCTTTCTGCCTAAAATACATCATAGTTATAACTGAGTATATGCTGCTCTTTGCAAAACATTTTAAACACAGAAGTAGCATTTGTGTAGAAATATGTTTCATCAAGGAAACATATGTTTCATCAAGGGTAATTATCATATTTCAAAATATTATTCCCATTTTTCTTCATGACTTCGTGAAGCAATCGATGGCATAATCTGTAGTATCCAAAGACAAAGTTAAGTGACAGCAAAAAAGGATTTAACACTGTCAAGAAAAAAAATCTAGGAAAATGCTATTCGCCAATATCAAACTGTAACTTACATTTCAAGCATTGTGATTTCCTTTTCGGAGCTTGCAGTTGTTATTTTTGCCAGAATTAGAAGTGTAGCATGGCATTTCAATTCCAGGGTTTTTTTCTGAAAATTAAAATTACAGTTCTTGATCTTTTTTAGCTAAGAAAATAATTTGCAAAGGAACGTGATGACTTTGAGAAACTTAGCTTTAGGATAAAATCCAGTCAGTTTTAGTTCTTATAAGTGATTATTGCTTTATCTTAATGGATTCATGTGTTTGTGAGAGAAGATGCATTTAACGATCCCTGCCTGCAGAGTAGGAATCTCCCACTTTTGGAATGCTTCCAGGGACCAGTGACATTTCATTCCTTCCTACTGATACCATGCTGGGGGTTTTTTCACGTTGGGTCTTTTTTCAATCACTTCTAAAGAACACAAAGCTTTAAAGTCTCTGTGTCACCTTTCAGTCTGAGAATACTGTCTCAATATGTATTATTGATAAATGCCACTTTTGTGGATTAAATGCCTCAGAATGTCACATGCATTTTTTCGATTGTCTAAAAATGATTGACTGAATATTATTTTTCATCGAAGTTCAGTTATTTATGAAGAAGCTGTGAGACTCAGTTGCATTGAAATTTCCAGACTAGAACCTGGAATTCTGTTAGTGTTTTCAATCTTAGACAGTTAATGACAATCAAAACATTAATACAATATAAAAGTACAGAACGTTTTACTCAGTATTTATAGTTTAGTTACATTTTAAACCACTCCTGTCTTTTTAGTCAGCAATTAGAAGTGTCACCAACTCCTTCAGCTATCTGTTCCACTCATACTCACCTTGGTGAATGTTAAATTAGATGTGTAGTGCAGAGCGATGTCTTTAAACCTTGTTAACAAATTATTAATTTCTCCCCTTTTGAATGGATAAGGAGTGAAAATAGCAAATCATCTTAATGGATATGTAGTAGACTTAATAATATAATACTTATTTTTAATATTAGATTTTAAAATGCTGACCTTGGCCTTTTCAAAACATAAATTAATGTACAATTAAATTTTGTATGAAAAAAAAATCTGAAACTTCTCTAGAGAAATGTATACAATTTTTTCATCTTCATTGCTCTTCCTTCTTCATAGGTACATAAATCATGGTGTAAAATATCAGCTCTTAACTATTTTTTAAAATCCTGTTATCCAGTAAGACATACTATCCAAGTTGGGAGAAGGCCAAGTGACAAACGTAATGTTCCACTGAAGAACAATTTATTTCTCATCAGACACCTGCTAAGAAGTATTAAGAACTATATTTTTTTAATTGTGAAAGGGTGTCATAGCACATCTGTATTGTGCTGTCAGATGAAGCAGACAGATTGTTTTACAATTGTTTCTAAATACCAAAGTACCAAAAAAAGGTTGTTGAGTTTAGACTTATTGCTAGCTATGTTGGTAGAGCAGAGAACAGTACTTGTACTTTCTAAGTGGCTCATGTAAGTTTGGTGTCCTTTGTGCTGGAAACAGTGTCGAGCTTCAGTCCTGTTACAAGTGTTTGGATGTGTTTATTGTCAGGCAGGCACAGCCATAATGTGTTTTTTCTGACAAGGTGATGACTTAGCTATATGTGATACTTATGTATACTCAGTACTTTCACAAAATAACATCCCCTAGGCTTTTTAAAAGTCACATGTATTTGTGTGTATATTTTTATCTTACTGTTATAAAGTGATCAAGCAGTTTGGTCTAAGCCTTTTCTGGTGTCTTTCTGTACCCTTATCCAGGTGTTTGTGCTCCATTCTTATTACACACGTTCTCCCTTTTTTAATAAATTTTCCTTGGTTATTCACTAAGAATTAATTGTACATCTTCCACCATTCTCAACTTCATCGGCACATTTAAACTTCTGTAACCATTTTATCTATCAGCTGTAGCAGCTAAGGCTATTTTGATTGTTGGTTTAGCAAAATCTCAGCAGAAGCGTTTATGAATATATGTACATTATATGTTCTGATCAGACCATTCGCAAACAAAAGTTCATCTCTGCTCAAAGTTCATTTCACAATTCTGTTTGTTTTGCTCTTTCAAATTGGGTGGAATGGATGTGAACACCATTTCTAGAAGGCAGATTGCAGAGATTATGATTTTAGTGTATGCTGTATGAGATATTCTGAAAAGGTCTGTCCTGGATGTTTTTGGTCTGCTATATGAATTTAACATGCTGTATTTGCAATCTCTTAGTATAATCTAGGATTAAACATATATCCAGGTTATTAAACTGATACTCAAAAGGGCACCTGGACTTGCCAAAGGAAAAGTATAAGCAAATAAATGACTCATTTCAATTTCTTCTACGTACAGAATTGTAAGAACATTTAAGAAGGATTGTTGATGGTGCCAACTAAAAGAAAATCATCAAAAATTTATGTCTTTAACTGTCTTTGGAAAGGGATCATTAGCATTGGTGAAGTAAAACAATTCCTCTAGAAAATCGGTGAGTGATTTTGGCAGCTGTTCACATGGTGTTGATGTCAGTTAAACATCTTCTTGTAGCTTTTTACCAATAGCTTAGATACGACTAAGAGGAATGTGTGTATATCTCATATCATGACTATGGACTTATCAGACTTCTCAGTGTGGTTACCTAACATCTGTGACAACAAGCTCATTGTGTCCTAGACTCCTCTGTCCCTTATTGTCTTGGGAAGAGGACAGTGTTAAATCGGGCAAGGAGTTGGAACTAGATGATCTTTAAGGTCCCTTCCAACCCAAACCATTTTATGATTCTAAAACAGAGGAGTCTTGTAAACAGCAGAACTAATGAGGTTTGGGTCCTTATTAGTGGATTCTGTGACAGACTATAATACTCTTCCCTTAGAGCTCCCAGGTGGTCCCTGATTTCATCCACCATAATGAACAAAGTGAGCTTACTGTCCGTAAGGCTGCTCTGTGGCCACACATAGGCTGGCCGTTGCTTGCTACTTAGCTTTCAAGCATTCAGAATGCCCTGCCCCTCAACTGGAGATCTGCACAGATAGCTCTGAGAGGTACATATATGTCCCCCAATCGTGTATTATATGGGGTTGACCTTAATAACTGTGAAGTTTTTATGGCATTTCCCTGTAATGGTCAACTGGCCCCTTGTTTGAGGTGGCTTTCAAGCAAAAAAAAACTTAGGGCAAGCGTATTAAGGGAGTTTAGCTTTGGAATTGTTTTGGATTCTCTTTGGTTTTTTTTTTTGTTTTAGAAAACCAGGCTAATAGCTAAT